CATTCCCTGTTTCAGCCAACCACTGATTTACTTTCTATCTACTTTACTTTATTACTATCTAAAGATTTGCCTATTCTGGATGTTTTATATAAATGGAATCTTACAATATGTACCATTTTTTGTTTGGCTTCTTTGATGTAGCATAATGTTTTCAAGGTTCATTCATATTGTATCATGCATCAGTATTTCATTTCTTCTTATTGTCAAATAATATTCCATTGCATGGATAGTCTATATTTTATTAATCCATTCATCAGTTTCCACTCTTTGACTATTATGAATAAAGCTGCTATGAACATTCTTGTACAATTTTTTTGTGGCCATGTTTTCAAATTTCTTAGTATATAGCTAAGAGTGGAATTGTTAGGTCCTATGGTAACTCTGCTGAGTATTCTGAAGAAGTGCCGAACTGTTTCCCAAAGTGGTTGTATCATTTTACATACCATCAATGTATGAAGGTTCCAATTTTTGTACATCTTTGATAATATTTGTTATTGTTTTTTTGATTACAGTCACCCTAGTGTATGTGAGGTGGCATCTCATTGTGGTTTTGATTTGCATTTCTCTAACAGCAAACACGAACATCTTTTCTTTTTTTTTTTTTAAGATTTTATTTATTTATTTGACAGAGAGAGACAGAGTGAGAGAAGGAACACAATCAGTGGGAGTGGGAGAGGGAGAAGCAGGCTTCCCGCCGAGCTGGGAGCCTGATGTGGGGCTCAATCCCAGGACCCTGGGATCACGCCTGAGCCTAAGGCAGATGCTTAATGGCTGAGCCACCCAGGTGCCCCCATGAGCATCTTTTCATGTGATTATTGGCATTTATCTCCCTTGGAGAAATGTCTAGCCATATGCTTTGCACATTTTTAATTTTTTTTGTGTGTTTTTATTAAGTTGTAAAAGGTCTTTATATATTCTGAACACAAGTCTCTTATCAGATATATTATTTGTCAATATTTCTTCCCACTTTAGGGTTGTCTTTTTACTTTCTTGATGGTATTACTTGCAACAAAAAGTTTTAATTTTGATGAAGCCCAATTTATCTATTTTTTCTTTCATTGCTTGTGCTTTTGTTATTTTATATAAGAAACCACCGCCTAACCCAAGGTTACAAACATTTACTTTAAGTAAACTAAGAGTTTTATAGTCTTAGCGCTTACATGTAACTCTATGATCCATTTTGAGTTAATTTTGTTTACTGTGGCAAGAAGGAGTCTAATTTCATTCTTTTGCATGTGGATATCCAGTTATCACAGCACCATTTATTGAAAAGACTATTCTTTCCCTGTTGAATTGTTTTAGCGTCCTTTTTGGAAATCAACTGACCAAAACCTTAAGGGTTTGTTTCTGGACTCTTCATTCTTTTTTTTTTTTTTAAAGATTTTATTTATTTATTTGACAGAGAGAGACACAGAGAGCAGGATCACAAGCAGGGGGAGTGGGAGAGGGAGAAACAGGCTTCCCGTGGAGCAGGGAGCCTGATGTGGGGCTCGATCCCAGGACCCCGGGATCATGACCTGAGCCGAAGGCAGACGCTTAACGACTGAGCCACCCAGGCGCCCCTCTGGACTCTTCATTCTATTCCATTAATCTACATGTTTATCCTTATGCCAGTATTACACTCCCTTGATTAGTGTAGCTTTTTAGCAATGAAATTGGGAAGTGTGGGTCCTCCAACTCTGATCTCTTTCAAGATAGTTTTGGCTTTTCAGGGTCCCTTACATTTCTATGCATTGTTTTTATAATTGGGAAAATTTTGTTAGAAAGAGAGAAAGATAGACATTGCTGATGGTACTATGAAATCCGTTTTGTTTTCTGAGAGTGATACTACTGCTGTGCACCTATTTTCTTGGTCAGGGGAATTTTTCTCTCCTAAATCTTGTCCTGGTCACCGTAGATTTTTTTTTTTCACTGTTGATGAAAATGTGATGAAATGTGCAGGGTATTGATTTAGTCAAGACTTCATCTCCTGTCTTGAGTCACTTGGCTGGGTCAGGGGTTCTTTCCACAACACCCTAAATTTTTTTTTTAAAGATTTTATTTGACAGAGAGAGAGAGCACAAGCAGAGGGAGCCAGAGAGGAAGAAGCAGGCTCCCCACTGAGCAGGGAGCCAGATGCGGATGCGGGGCTTGATCCCAGGACCCCAGGATCGTGACCAGAGCCGAAGGCAGCTGCCTAACCAACTGAGCCACCCAGGTACCCACAACACCCTAATTTTTTATTTAGTCCAAGCAAAATACTATCACACTCTCCTTTTGTGGTCTCTACGCTGTTTTCATTGTAATTTCATCAGCAAATCACGTTTTTCTTTTTTTTTTTTTTAAGATTTTATTTATTTATTTGAGAGAGAGAATGAGAGAGAGAGAGAGCATGAGAGGGGGGGAGGGTCAGAAGGAGAAGCAGACTCCCTGCTGAGCAGGGAGCCTGATGTGGGACTCGATCCTGGGACTCCAGGATCATGACCTGAGCCGAAGGCAGTCGCTTAACCAACTGAGCCACCCAGGCGCCCACGTTTTTCTTTTTAAGATTTTCTTTCTAAGTAAACTCTATACCTAACATGGGGCTTGAACTCACAACCCCAAGATCAAGACTCGCATGCTCTACTGACGGAGCCAGCCAGGCACTCCAACTCCAGCAAATCACTTTTGAGTATGTATTTCTGCAGGTTCAATTTGAATATACAAATATATGTATATTTATTCATTTATAACTTATATATACATGATTATTATACACATTAAAAACATACACAAAACATTTTAGAGGTTGGGCTTTTAAAAATGCTTAGAAATCGAAGTTTTCCCACACTTCAATGACTTTTATTTCTCTGGAGACTGGCCCTCTTGGATTTTTCCTATTCACTTCAGTGTGTTCCAGCACCCAGCCAAGGGCCAGGTACATAGCAGAAGCTCAATGTCTGCTATTGGAAAGAAAATTTTCAGATATCCTGCTATTTCTATTAATACATACTGCCTCTATTCCTAGGTTCAGCACCCTGAAAGTAAAGATTTTGCATCTACCATCCGCTAGGGTCACTTTGCCGAGAGGCTGTGGGCACATCTCCCCTTGTTTTGTCTTTTACCTGTGATTGCACCTTACCTGACTAGTTCTTTTATTATTATTATTTTTTTTAAGATTCTGTTTATTTGTTTGACAGAGAGACAGCGAGAGAGGGAACACAAGCAGGGGGAGTGGGAGAGGGAGAAGCAGGCCTCCTGCTGATCAGGGAGCCCAACGTGGGCTCGATCCCAGGATTCCCGGATCATGACCCGAGCTGAAGGCAGACGCCCAACAACTGAGCCACCCAGGCGCCCCTGACTAGTTCCTTTAGAAAATAGCAATTGTATCATCCTTAACTATAATCTTCATTTCAAACTGCTTGGTCAGGCGGAGTCCTGGGTGCCTTGACCATAAAGAATGAACAGCAAGCTTTCTTATCAGGATGTATCACTGGAGGTTATGAAAGGGAGCTTTTGGGGGTGACAATTAGGAAGTGCTTCAGGAAGCTGGATTTTTTTTATTTTTAAAGATTTTATTTATTTTTGAGAGAGAGCATAAGCAGGGGAGCGGCAGGCAGAGGGAGCAGTAGACTCCCCGCTGAGCACCCTGGGATCAGGACCCCAGCGGAAGGCAGATGCTCAACCTGCTCAACCTACTGAGCCACCCAGGCGCCCAGGATGCTGGATTTTAAAGGGCCAGTGGGAGTTAGCCAAATGGAGAAGAGAGGAAGGCAGTCCCAGCTGAACAGCAGGGACAAAGATGGGAATGGCTGAGATGGGAATGGCCCCAGCACATTCTGAGCTAGGGAAGAGTTCGTGTAGTTGAACACTACACAAGGGCAGGAACGGTTGCATTTGTGTTTTTTTTAAAGATCCCTCCGGACGCACAGTGTAGTATTAAGAGTCTCGAGGCTGGAAGTAGGGGAGGCTGTTGGTTGCCTGGAGAGTAAGAGTAAAATTATAGGTAGCCTGTGGAAACCTTTGGGATTGGAAGCCCAAACTGAAGCAGCTCTGCTTTAGTGTTTTGGCTGCATTCTTTTATAGGATTTCAACTCCCCTCCTTTTTTTTTTTTTCCTCCAGGGCTGTTGCCCTTTCCCTTTGTTCCCAAGAGACACTTACCTATACCTTTATCAGAAAATCACTATTCCCTAGAATTCCCCGGGGCTGGGAGAGTTCTGTTTCCGGCCTCCGTTTGAGGCCTGCCCTCAAAGGAAGACACTGAAGTGCATCTTTGCACAGGTTTTATCAAGCCAGAGCTTGTCGAAGGCTTCAACCCACCCCGCCCAAGTTAAATATCAAACCACGCACACAGACACAGAGATAGAGGCTCAGACACGTCCAGACAGAGAGCAGCCTCGGGCTTATCAGGAGCCCCGGACCTACAGCCAGCGGTGTGGCTGAGCGGGACAGGCAGCCCGGGGAACTAGCGCCCCCGGGGCCAGATCACAGCCCTTCCCTGGGAAGAAAGGGGCCGAGGGAAACCCCAGCGCCCTCGGGATGGGCGGGGCGCCGGCAGGGCTCGGGCGGCCTGGCGGCGCCGGTGGGCGGGGTCTCCCCGCCGGGCACTGCCGCTGACGGCGCCGGCTCCGCCCCTCGGGGAGGGCGTGCGGCGAGCGCGCGAGCCGGGCCCGAGCCGGCCTGGGAGCCTGCGGAGCCGAGCGCCGCGAGCGGAGGAGCGCCTGGGCGGCGGCGGCGGCGGCAGCGGTAGCGTGCGCGATGGCTCCGGCCGCGGACCGCGAGGGCTACTGGGGTCCCACGACGTCCACGCTGGACTGGTGCGAGGAGAACTACGCGGTGACCTGGTACATCGCCGAGTTCTGTGAGTGCGGGCGCCGGCGCCCGGGCCTGAGGCGGGAGGCAGGGAGGGAGGGCGCCGGTCTGAGGGGAGACGCCGCGTGAGGAAGGCGGAGGGCGGACCCGGCCGCCAGGGGAGGCACCAGGCCTGGCCGGGGAGGTGGAGTGGGGAGCCCTGGTCTGGGGGCAGGAATGGGAGCGCTGCCGAGGAGGGGAGCGGATGGGGGGAATCCAGTGTGTCGGGTGAGGCGTGCCGGGGTCTGGGCGGTTTGGGGGGGTTGAGTTTGGGGGAGTGGAAGAGAAGTGGGGAACCCCCGCTGGACCTGCGGGGAGGCCTGAAGGGTAGGGCTGGGATGGGAATTCCTGTCGGAGGGGAGGAGTGGGGCAGGCTGGGGCGGCCCAAGAGGAGGTTGGGAGAGTGGAGGACTCGGCTCGTTAGAATGAGGGCCCGGGACACCTGCTCCTACTGTCGCTGCCACCCCCTTCGGCCTAAGGGCACAGGAGAAAGGAACAGGTCCTAGCTTAGTCTTACCCCAACCATGAAAACTCCCAGATCTTTCCCTTCCTCTTTGTCTGTTCTCGTCGGACCTCTTCGGTCACCTCCAGGGAAGGTGCCAGGCTCTCAAGAGCACAAGGGACCGAGTCCCTGCGCCACTCTGCCTCCTTTACGACTACCTAAGGGTTAGGGTTCATCTGGGGGCACTACTTCCACTGATTGCACCCTCTGAGGACATCCTTCTCCAGGTGCTGCCCTGACAGGCCCCAGTTCCCCCCTGGGTGTGTGTGTGTGTGTGTGTGTGTGTGTTATTCCATTAGGCTAGGGGAGCACAGGAAAAATCTGCCACTTTTTTTAAAAATTAATTAATTATTTTTTATTCTTATGTTAATCCCCACACTTTTTTTTTTTTTTTAAATGCAGTTTACTTTGGTTAAGTTTTGAGAGCACAATGTTTGATCCTTCTTTGGGTACCTATCTGCTTCTGACAAAGTACAGAGGATTTTTTTGGCTGTTTCTTCTTTTAATTGGATCCACTTTCTCAGGACAGGAAGCAACTCTTCTTTGCTAACCTACCCATTGTTGGGTCCTTTCCCCAGGCATTTGTTTGGCTTTGTAAGAAAGAGGCAAGAGTTTCATGCCAGCTGATCCTACCTTATTCTTTTCACAGTAATTGACTAAATTAAAAAAACAAAAACAAAAAACCACCGAACTCTTAGTAGTGTTCAAGACTTTAAACCATTCCTTTTAAACCATGATTTAGGCTGAGAGTCACTTATCCAGAACTACTAGTTTAGAGTAATAATTTTTACGTAGTAATGGAAGTATATGGGCAAAGGGATCATCTGTAGTGTAATTACTTGGCAGCCCAAATGTTGGCAAGGAAGCGCTATACCAATTTGCTGTTAGATCATGTTGGCAAGCCCATACGTGGTCCAGGGAAGGTCCATGAGAGGAAGAGACTTAAAACCATGCTTTCTGAATTGGAAGTGTGTAACATGGAAAAGAGAAACTCAGGGGTCCTCAAATTTTGGATGGGCTGTCATATAGAGCAGTTAAACTTTCTGGATTTCTCTAGAATGTGGAATTAGAGTGTATGGGTGGAAACTAACTGTAAGGGGAGAGATTTTGCTTCAACATAAGGGAACTTTTAAACCAAAGAATCATCGGATGGATTGAGGAGAGCTAGAGGTCACTGAAAGTGTTCAAACAGACATTGCTCAACTAACTCACATGAATTTTTTATGGAGAATTGTTTAGTAAAAAAAGGGATTGGCTTTAGTTGGCCTTTAGGTCCTTTGCATATTTATGGGTGGATATAGGTAATAATGGCTCTTAGTTTAGAACCAAGGATTAGAATCAAGAGAAAACTGACAGTTAAGTCATGTGACCTGTAAGAGTGCAAGATACTACTGTTCTGCCAGATAGCTCTGAGAAATGGGAAATGGCTTTTGGTCTTACTGTCCTCAGAGGAGGAAACTGAGCAGACTGCAGGGAGGCTTTTGACATAGGAATCAGGGGGTGCAAGAAGAGGGTAAGTGAATGTTGGTTGTCCTTTGCACATGTACCTTGGGAGAAAATTATTGGGAGGAAGTTGAGGTCAAGTCTTCTTATCCAGGAGGCAGTGGGTATATGTCATATTTTGGAGTAAGAGAACTTGATCTTCCAAAAATATGCTGGTTAATAATGGTGTGTTTAAGGCGCGCCTGGGTGGCTCAGTCGTTAAGCTTCTGCCTTTGGCTCAGGTCATGATCTCAGGGTCCTGGGATTAAGCCCAGGATCGAGCCCCGCATCAGGCTCCTTGCTCCGCGGGAAGCCTGCTTTTTCCCTCTCCTACTCCCCCTGCTTGTGTTCCCTCTCATGCTGTCTCTCTCTCTGTCAAATAAATAAATAAAAAATCTTTGAAAAAAAATGTAGTTTTATCATTCTTATAATATTTACATTAATGATAGAAATATTAAAGATAATAATGGAGATAATAGCCATATCTAAGTGCTTACTGTGTACCACACTTTGCTAAGCACTTCATCTATCTTCTCTCTTTCATTCTTTTTTTTCCTTTTAAAGATTTATTTATTATTTAGAGAGAGAGAGCGAAAGAGACAGAGATCAAGTGAGTGCTCACTTGCATGTGGGGATGGGGGAGGGGCAGAGGGGGAGGGAGAGAGAGAGAATCCTAAGCAGACTCCCTGTTGAGCTTGGAATGGGGGTGCTCAATCTCAGACCCTGAGATCATAACCTGAGCCCTTCCAAGAAATCAAGAGTCTGTCACTCAACTGACTGAGCCACCCAGGTGCCCCTCTTTGATTTTTTTACCTAAGGCTGCAAAATGTGGTGTAGAGAGAGTGTTCAGGTTGAGGTCTGTTCTAAAGCAACTATATGCCATATTCTATCACACTTTCATCGTTTTGTCCCTGCATGCAAAGTATGAGGACAGGTGAGATAGTACACTATCACAAAGGACAAATTGAATAATTGTTCAAGAATCCTGTCTTTTAGCCCTAGGCTATGTATATTTTGAATAATAAAAAGATGAGTTTCCGGAATTGCATGTTCAGATGTGGCAGCAGTTCTGAGTCACTGAAATACCTGAAAATTTGCCTTTTTAATATCACCCAAGATCAGTTCAAATTCTTCTTTTTTTTTTTCCAAATTGTTTTTTGTTTGATCAGATTGTAAGGACAGGGGAAAACGTAGAGTTTTTCCTCTTAATTATAATTGTGAAATAATATGTTCCTTGGTGTGGCAGAAGTTATAGGTACAGGCAGTCCTCACTCTTTATGGTAGTGACTATGCAAGTTAAAACCTGGCAAAGTAGTCTTAATAATCAATGGGAAAAGTTAAAATTGTTCTGTGACCTTCAAATTTCTTTGTCAAATACCATAAACCCTCTTATTGTTGGTTATAAACATATATAGAGAAATGAAAAAATAGCAAAACTGTTATTTAGTACACTGTAATTTAAAACATTAAAAACATTGAGAATTAAAATGTGTTATTTCTTTATATAAGAACTGATCAAGAGTAGTTTGAACAGTGCTGGCTTTCTTGTCATATAACATATGATATGGAATGAGTAATTTTTCTATGCCTCATGAATTGTCATACTCCTAAGTTTGGTTCAGTTTCAACATTTTAGTCTTTGCACTTTCAGTATTGTGAAATATCTCTGAGAGTTCTTCTAATGCAGAGTTTTTTTGCTGTAGTTACTTCTTCCGGTCCATCTTCATCCTTTTCTCACAACCACTTTTTTCATTTATGTTGATAAGTTTGCCTTTACTAAGTTCCTCCAGCTGTATATCTAGAGTCCCTTGGAATGGCAGCAGTCAACATTGTCATTGTCAGCTATTTCTTGATAACTTTGTTTATGTTTGATTGGAATTTCACTTCCAATATTATCACTTTTTGTTTCTTTGATACACTTTCAGCATTGTTGGCTCTTTCCCTATTTTGCTTATTCATTTTTGTAAAATATCACATATGTTCATCACCAGGAGACCAAGAGGCAACTCAGCTACACACTTGGCTGTCTGTACATGAACTGAATAACAGAGTGCAGTGAATAATCACCAACAGTTTTTGCCTTGATTTTTTTTTTAAAGATTTTATTTACTTATTTATTTTTAGACAGTGAATGTGCAAGCGGGGGTGAGGGGCAGAGGGAGAGGGACAGAGAGAATCTCAGGCAGACTCTCCACTCAGCGCAGAGCCTGATGCGGGATTCAATCTCACAACCTGGAGATCACGACCTGAGCCGACATCCAGAGTTGGATGCTTAACTGACTGCACCACCGAGGAGCCCCTCAAGCCACTTTTCACACTTAGGTCTATAGTTAGTCATTAGAGCTTAGTAATACTTGAAGGCAAAGAGCATTTTGAAGTCTCATCTTGACTTAGTTTTTACCCATGTTGTCCAAGATATTAACTAGGAAGAATTGTCATTTGGTAGCATATATTGGAAGAAATGATAGATTTTTTTTTTTTTTAATGGAACAGTAATTGGTATATGGGTAAATAAGAAGAACGAATACCTCAGATGGTAATTTGGGGAACTTTACTAAGCCAGAATACATAGAATAGTGAATATTTAAATGAAAGTCTTGGGCGCTTGGGTGGCACAGTCGGTTAAGCGTCTGCCTTCGGCTTGGGTCATGATCCTAGGGTCCTGGGATCTAGTCCTGCATTGGGCTCCTTCCTCAACAGAGAGCCTGCTTCTCCTAACCCTGCCTGCCTCTCTGTCTCTCTTTCTGACAAATAAATAAATCTTTAAAAAAATGAAAGTCTTGCCCAGTGCATTATTATCTCAGGTTAAATTTTTAAGTTGTTCCTTTGATTTTGGGTTTACCCTGTCCCTTTGCCAACTGTTTCCCCATTAGTGGGGAAAAAAACCTGACCTGGAGAGTTTTAGGTAGTGCAGAAGAGCATTTTAAAAGAAGTAGAGGGATGGAGAAACATTTTAGGACCCAGCAAAATGATAGAGCCCAAAAGAGACAGCAGAAGCAGTTAATAGTGACACAAAAGTCCTACATATTTATTGTAGGGAAAGGTCATGGTATAATGACTTGGAGCCAGAATCAAGATTTCTATTTGAACTTTGCTCAGTTGAATGTTGTGACTTTGGGCAAATCACTTAATCATTCTTTGTATCAGTTTATTTTCTATAACATGAGAATAATGATATCCAAGGGGGTTATGAGAATTAAATGGCAAGATAAGTGTGAAAGTGCAGTGAGGTGAAGTGCTTGGC